GGTGGGTTTCTTCTATGTTAGGGCAACTATACATGATTATTGATTAGGCACTTAAACTGACACCAGGTTTGGTTAGGAGGAAGGGAGAAATAGAGGGAAATTCAGTTGTTTATTTCCCCTTAGTAAAGAACTATTGACTTGCTTTTTGTTGTTTGGTATGGATGTAATGAAAGTAATTGAACACATTGTGTGGGCTAAAAATATTACAATTATATGTGGTCCAAGTTGATATTAAGAGAGCCTTCGAATGCTGTCATGCGTCATCAATGTGCTTTCAACAGAGGATGAAGGCGAGGTCGAGGTGACCTAACAAAAGTCGAAGACGAAGTCGAGTCGACTCAATAGAAGGACGCGAACAAACACTCCCTTTAGCAGGATAGTAATGACTAGTTTTAGAGATAAGACCTTATAGAGAATATTTCACGAGTATTCCTCCCATCTATACTATTAGAAATTTTATGGCTCATGTGCCCTTATAAATAGAAAGAGAAAGAATTGTAGAGTGGATTGGATACTCATTGTAAGAAACAACACATTGATATTCTCCGAAGATTCTTGCTTTATCATTAACATACAAAATACACCTTTTCTTTAGATCTGTGCCTATTATTTCTCCCATGATCCAAGGAGTATCTGAAGATTCTAAGGCTTATCATCATCCATCTTTGTCAAAAGGAATATCAAATAATCTCACCTTTTTTGGGAGAGTCACTTGCATTTATTTACATAAATATCATTCATTATCATTTATTGTTATTTAATGCTATCTTTTTTGTTCTTGGGCCATTAAATACACTAAATAAGAAATTAATTTGGAAGGAACTCTCAAGGCGCATGTTAAGCGAAAATAGCTAACGTGCACCATCCATGGCACACCAGAAACGTTTCCTCAATCAAAGATGAATCATCTAGAGTTGTTACACCAAAGACGGGAGTTCTACAGAACTTAGCCCCAATTCAAATAGGGCAATGGATGATGGGTATGGGTAGTGCTCCAACGATATTACAAGCACTAAATCGAGATCAATCGGAGGTTCCAGACAAGCAACAGATGGAGGTAGAAGACCAGCAACCAGGAGCTCAAAATGTAGCAAAAAAATTAACATTCTCTGCAAACTCTAGTGCGGTCAAGCCAACCATGGCGGATATAGTCAAAGGTAATCAAGCTCAACATCTAGGGTAGGAACTTAATTACTTCCCCGACCCTGAAAGATAGAATTAAAGTCGTCAAGCTCAGTGCTAATGCCATAGAATTGCAAAATAAAAAATGGAGGTCAGCCCTAATTGGCTATGTAATTGGGGGTAATCCTTCATTTAAAGATATGCTCAAATTTGTCTATGGGGTATGGAATACTGTCACAACTCCGCAGGTTTATCTCCATGATGAAGGCTACTTCATATTTAGATTTGATGATGAAGAAGACAAATTGAAGATTATGCAGAATGGGCCTTATACTTACAATAATAGGACTATGATTTTGAAATAATGGGTACCAAACTTCAAAATAGCTGAAGAATCA